CAAACATCTAAAACATACATATTCATCTCATATTTCAATATTAGAATGCTTAGTCATCTTCTACCTCTAGCATTTTACTCATTTTCCTCTTTAATCCCATTTTCACTTTAGGGTTTTGGGATTTTCATGAATCAACCCCCAATCCTTTCCATTCTTGAAATACTAACTCTAAACCAAGAGTTTACAAGATAAAAACAAAATAAAACGAACCATAACTCGAAAAGATGAGTTTCCATGGTTTCCCTCATTTTGAGAAGAGATCCAACATACCCAAAATAAGTTTCAAAGGGAAGAAAAGAGTTAGAATCAAGAGCTTTACCTCTTCTCAAGCTTCTAAATGACTCACAAGCCTTCTTGCTCTTGAAAAAGTCATATTCTCTCACTTCTCTCTAGGTTAACCCTCATAAATGTGTTTGGGGTTCCCTGTTTAATGTAACAGCGTCGGGTCCTCGCTTCAGCGAGCTGATTCTCGCTCAAGCGAGAAAAATCCCGCCCATTTTAAAAACTCAGATCTGACCCATCCAGGCGAGGGAATTCTCGCCCAGACGAGGGAATTCTCGCCCAGGCGAGGCATCTCTCGCTCAAGCGAGAATTTTACAGCCTCGACAACTCCAAAATATCACATTTCCTCGCCCAGGCGAGCCAATCTCTCGCTCAGGCGAGACCACTCTCGCTCAAGCGAGCCAATTCTCGCTCAGGCGAGAATCCTTCCGTATAGCCCAGGATTTCATCCTTCCAGTTAAACCTTCCTCGCCCAGGCGAGCCAACTCTCGCTCAGGTGAGACCACTCTCGCTCAAGCGAGACAACCCTCGCTCAGGCGAGAATCCATCAGTATAGCCCAGGATTTCACCCTCCCAGGTGAGCCTTTCTCGCCCAGACGAGAATCCCTCGCTCAAGCGAGAATCTCAGGACTGATATTATAATTTTTAAAGACGTAAATTTAGGGTGTTACAGTTAGATTGGTTAGAAGTTTGAAATTGTCTTGTGAAGAAGATGAAATCAGTGATGAGGAGAGAGCAACAGTGAAATGAAAAGAAATAAGGGTTTGAAAAATAAGGATAATTAATTGATTTGAAGTTTTTGTATATTGATTTAATACAATGTGTGAGGGTACATAATAACAATATGGACCAATTTTGGAGGCAGAAAAATTAAGGAGAAGTTGACATGTGTCCATGATGATGTGGGAATAACATTTTTTTCTTATATATATAATAGATAGTTGCTAGAAAAAATACTACTTCACATGAAATTGTTTCAATTGGTTGGATCATTGTACTATTTTAATGTTAGTATATGTTTACGCCTCGTTATGGATGCTTTTAAGTTAGGTAACTAAGATCCGCCAAAAAGTTTCTCTTTTGTTTTCTCCTTTCAATTTAATTTTGTATCTTGACCCCTATGCAATATCTTATTTTTTTTCATGAACTCTAGTATTTGAGTGTATGTTCAATTTTAATTTTTTTATTTATAAAAAAAAATGATCCAAATCGAACCGAAACTGCATATAATATTTGGACTGGACTGGATCAGACATCTTAAATTAAATAGACCAGACCAGACCAGACAGCATGTTAATTACGTATTTGGATCAGACAATTTTTTACTAAAAAACCGATCCAAATTGACCGCGAACACCCTTACTATATGCTATATAGGCTCGAGCTGTTTAAGACAAATCTGACCTGACCTGTTTCTACCCTTAGTAATTGTCAAGGCCAATCATACTTTTTAAGAAGATTGATACTTACGTACTTGTTAAAGGTGTCAAAATGAGCTACCCAGATGGATTCAGGCTAGCCTACATCGGGTTCGGGCTAATTTGGATCAGTCTAAAAAGTCCAGGTACAATTTTTACATATCAAATTGTATCACAAACTCGCCCCAAGAAGATTGCAGGTTGTGATGAGTCAGCCACATAATACTAAAAAATATTTATTAAAATTTTAACGTATATTAATATATTTAAAAATATATAAATATATGATATTGATTTATAATTTTTTAACTCATTTGTTATGCTAAATACAACCAAACTTATAGATCTAATGCATTGTGTTTGACTTAAGACGTGATGTCAAGTTCACATATATGAATTTTAACACAACCCATTTATTAAATTCATCATTTCTATTGAACTCTCACTTTCTAACACAATATAATTTGTGACTTCATTTTAATATATAAATATTTGGACACTAAAAAAATAACATCATCTTGGTTTATAGTAATGGTAGTATAAGCTCAAGTTCAAAATGAACTCTACATGTAAAAGTATAACCACCATCTTAGTATATGGTCATTATGTTTTACTTTTTGTTCGAAGATCCTTCATATTCTATTTATCAACACTTTCATTGTGAACTATTATGTTAAATTTGGTTCTGTAAATCTCTTGTAAACAATTATATTGTCTTTTAATTTTGTTTAGGATAACAAATATATATGAAATCGTCGGTACCCATCAAAATACATGCAATGTGTACCCGCAAAAATAGTTCATAAAACGAGTATTATGATACCCGCCCGCGGGTACACGTATATATTTTAATTAAATATTTTATACATAGTTATTATTAATTTAACATTATATCTGTCTATTTTATTATTATTTGATAATAAAATTTAGTGATGAGACTATGGTCATAAAATTATCATATACATATCATATTATTTAAGTAATAATTATTTTTATTGATTAATTACTATAAAATATAATTAAAATTGAAAATTCGTTGGGTACTCGCAAATACCCGCTACTCGCACGGATTCCCATAAATAGTGTGAGTATGGACACAAGTATGCACTACCCGTGTCCGTCCGGCTTCGTTGCCATCCCTAGTTTTGTTGTAAAAATTATTTTCTTTATTATGTTTTTGTTATAGTAGTTAAATCTAATTAAATACACAATTAAGAAAAAGAAATTAGATTTATATGATTTAATGTTTTCTCTTTTGGTTTGATATACTATTTTGTTATTATGCTTAAAATGATATTATGTAAAATAAGAAAAATATGATAATGTTTAACTTTATAAAATTATTGTAATTTATAACACAATATATATTATCTTTTTTTTTATTATAAGTTATTTTATAAAATAATATTCACATAAGCCTAATTACCGAGTCAAATGTCCGAAAAAATAAAAATAAATAAAGAAAATCGAGTAGCCCGAACCCGCCCAGTAAACCCGGCTCGAACCCTACTTTAATATAGCCCGTTGATCTGGAGTAAAAAACATGGATTTAGTACAAATACCTAATATAATATTTAAACCCTATAAATTTTCAGACTTTAACATGTCGCCCGATCAAACCCGCCCTTCCATTTTGATATCTCTAATTACCATGCATTCTAGTCTAAGAGAAATAGAAGGTAAGTATAAAAAAGAGAGTCACGTGTTGAAGAGGAGTAACATGTGTTACCATGAATTTACAATGTATGTTTTTATAAATTATCATTATATCATGTTTAAATATAATACAAATGAGTGATAAGTAATATATTGACATTATGTAAAACTAGCGTGTTGACACTGTCGTGTCTGTCAACTTGTTTTCTTATCATTTGTAATGTGTTGTCTACTTGTAATAAATATCTAATTAGTAAATTGTGTTATATATTATAATTTGCAGTTGAATATATTCGATTGAGGTAATTGTTCAATGTTAATGAATGAATGATGTCTTGCACTCCAATTCTTTACTACTTAACAATGAACAATTACCTCATGTTGTGATAAATTAAACCATGAACACGAAATATATAGATATTACATCCCGTTGTGGCTAAGTTGTTATCAAGATGAACATGTTCTATGTTGATGTGTTGATTCAGTTAATTTTGTGTTATATGTTCTATTTTATATTGAAGATCAGAATATTAAGTTGATGAATTAAATATTTGACATTTTCTAATAAAAAGTATATTGATTTAACTTGATGAATCAAATATTTGTTTGGCCATAATTCCATTTTCCTATTTCTAATAAAATATATTTATGCATTAATTATATTTTCTCTTCTCATTGAAAACAAAAAGCCAATAAACCTAAGCTATGAATCATATATCAAATCTTTATTGTTCAATAAATTTGGGGTGTTATTGCATTCAATCACCTTGTTAAAAAAAAGAACATGAAAAATGATATGATGTATTTATGTGGAAATAATCATCTATAAAAACATTAGTAAGGGAATTGTAAGTATTGTTTTGTATATTTTAATTACATTTTTTCATAACATGTTCTCTTCATAATTACTCATATTCCAAATAAGTTATGTACCAAAATATATATTAAAAAAGTTAAATTATCAATTATCTTTCCATATTTACCTTGAATATTTCTTTCATATTCATTTTGTATAAATAATATGGTTTACATACAAAATTACATGGAAGTTTATTAATGTAAATATGGAAGTTGATGAAAGTTTATTAATGGTATGCTCAAAGTTTATTTATAAATATTAAATTTTAAATTAAGAAGGGTAAAATAAGTATACAAATTACACCATGGATAAGTAGTTAATTTGTGTTTTTCCTTTATTAAGTAGTATAGATATTACACTAACATTATTTAGACTAGCGTGTCGACAGACACTTCGTGTCTGCCGACCCATGTTCATATTTTATTGTATTAAATATTCAATTTGTATATATTTTATTTTATACAAGTAGAATGTTTTTGTATTAAGATTAATTTATGCTAAAAAATGTATTTATTATAATTCAATTTAAGGTGATATATGTGGTTAATGTGATAATGATAATTACTTAAAATTATATGGTTTTTTGTAGAAATAAAAAAATGGAAGAGAAAAATAAAAAAAATAGAAATTACATCATGATTATAATTATTTCATGTTTTGGCTTTATATATCCTCATACTAAACTAGCACAATGTATTTAATACTTAAAAATACATCATTTTTATATGCCACATATTAAACGACGCGTGTTGAGCAAGATGCGATGTTATTTCCCAAAACACAAAACGGCAGCGTTTAAGTGATGAGTAGGGCTATAAATACACAAGGTTATTGACAACAAAACCATTATCAAAATCTCAAAACCCTAATAATGGCGAAACGTTTCAGCGGCGAGGCACAACAAAGCTTTTCTCATGTTTTTTCTTTCTCTCTTTTTACATTATTATCTCTTAATCTCTATATTATGTTTCTGCATTTTGATTTTTGAAATTGATATTATAAACGAGAGAAGGTGCTATGATGATGAGATCAAATAATCTCGTTAATCTGAATTATATTCATGTGGATAACTTTCTCATCCATTCATTCTTTTCTGAGCACCTTTTATATCTCTCAATCGTTAATTTTATTTTCATTATTTGTTCATTTTCATTATCGATCATCGTTCCTATTTGTAGTTTTAAATTTGAAGAAAATTTGTGAAAGGGTTTGAATTTATGTTTTATGTGTTATTTTATCCTAAACTATCTTTTTGGAATTTTTTTATTTTGATTTTATCTTGTCTTCTTTTCTTGTGTTATTTTGAAAAGCAGATTTCTTAAAATCTTCGTAGAAGTTTTTTAATGATTTATTTTTCTTTTATACATGAATGCTAAGGAATTGATGTAACAATAGGATGTGGCATTCCCTATTTTTATTTTTAAAATATATACTCTTCCATTTTTTAAAATATATACTTTTGGAATTGGTCACATTTTTTTATTTTTTTGGCTAAACATTAGCTTTGTTAATTAATGAATATGTTAAACAATTTTGTCTTAACTGTTCAGACAAAATTCAGGACTTTGGAATGAATATTCAGTTTGCACTATCGTTTTTTATTTATTGAATATGATTAATAATTTAGGATAATCTACTTATATTAATAATCAATTTTTAGGAATATGATTTTGTTATGTAACTTTTTTATCTTTTATAATAAATAAATGTTATCAATAATCGATGTTTATTTCCATTATGTTACTAAATTTTGTTATTGGTGTATGTGAAATTTTTTATCCATAAGACTCTAATCATACAAACTTATATTCAACACTCAACTAGAAAAGAAATTGAGGTGAAGAAACGAAAATACGAAAATTTGTTTCAGCTATTTGGAAACACTTTGAGTTGAGGTAGTGAAAAGAAAGTTGAAAGTGAAATTAAAAGACCACATAATTGAATATCATGGAGAATCCACATTACCAAAATTTAAATCATACTAATTTACAATAAAAACTAAAATTTGTTTCACCTATTTTGAAACACTCTGATTCACCCAAGAGTTTAACATATTACAACCAATTTACAATAAAAACAATAATTGTAAACAACTTTCTCTTTACTACCTATTACGACCAATTCAAAGTGTATCTAAATATGTGAAATTTTTTTTCGTTTTTTTACCTCAATTTTCTTTTTAGTTGAGTATCAAATTGATTTGCACTTATTTTCACATTCATATGGGCTGAATTTGACTTCCCACCATTTGATTAAGTTTGCATAATATAGTCTTATTATGTAGAATTAGAGTCTTGTGGGTTAAACATTCTACATATGACAAAAACAAAGTTTAGTAACATAATGAAAATAAATATAGATTATTAATAACATTTCTTGATTATAAAAGATAAAAAAGTCATATTACTAAATATTGATTATTAATAACATATGTAGATTATAAAAGATAAAAAAGTCATACTTAGATATAAAGTAATAAAGTCATATTAATAAATATTGTTAACCAAGATTGAAAAAGAATGAGAATAAAGTTCAAGCAATTCATATATATATATATATATATATATATATATATATATATATATATATAAACATTAACATACATTTTAGGTGTATATTGTCTGGGTGCAACATTACCTAGACATGCTCCATTCAACAGGGGGTCAGAAAAATACTCAGCCCCAAATACTCACGGGTCTAAAATAAAGATCTAGAACCTATCCGTTGCGAGTATTTTGCAGATACCCATGGATCCGGGTACCCATTGTCATCCTTAGGAGGGATGCTAGACATTTGATGTGTTATTGTTTTATTTTAAATTATGCTCTTAGTAAAAAAGATTTGTATTTAAGTACAATTTAAAGTTGTGACTTATGTGTATCATGTTGTTATTTGTCCTATTTTATAAAAAAAAAACTATTTTAAGTACATGTATCTATCAAATGAAAAAAAATTAACTATATAAATTATCCTTTTATGTATTTAATTAGATTTAACTTTTACAACATAACATAATAAAGTAATAAATTTTATATTAAAATTAAAAACAACATAATTGTATATTATGGAGAATTCACACTACCAAAATTTAAATCATACTAATTTATAGTAAATATGCCGATAATGAATATATAAATGATATTCGTACATAAATAAAATAATGTAGGAAGGGTTTATATTTTTAAAGTTTGATGAATGATAACCTAGCGTCCATTATGGAATATTTATAGTAAAAGATATTAGTGGATTAACTAATAACTTACCATTATGGAATCATAATGGTAAGATATTAGTTAATCTACTAACTAATATATGTATCGTTTATTTGATAAGATCATAAGATGGGACAATGATCTGCTGTTTCGAATCCCGTCCTCAAGTCCGTCCCGCACCAATTAAAAAATGACGTGTTAATTAAAAAAATTAAACATTCATAATTTTTTCTATTTTTACTCCATTTTGATTGGTGTGAGATTGAAACAAAAACTTTATGACACATATACCACATGAAGCTTATTGTTTTTAAATAAGTCAGCAGAAATTAGTTTTAGTTTCAAATTCTTGAAGTAACTAGACTCCATTTAAAAAATCAGTGTATATGCAATAATAGTGTAAATATTTATATAATGAGTGCATATGCAATTAAAAAATAATTGAAAATGAATGATGAATGATATACTGATAGTGTAAAAACTCATATAACAACCATAAATAAATGATTTTCTCATTAAAAAAATTAGAATCATCATATTCTTTCAAATTTGAAATTAGAATCAAGTTTTTAACGGTAACCTCATTTGTATAATTCAAACTTTATGATTCTCTTATAATAAATCAATTTGGCTCACGGTCTGAATCCCATGATCCTTAACCATTCTTCTTCTATATTTATACATATAGGAATGACAGCCGTATGGATTAGAGTGGAGTTCGTGCTCACCAAATATGAATCGAAAACAATGATACTTTTCAGAATCCGTTGGGTTTCGGGTAATCCGAATCCAATTGAAACCCATCCGAAATATGTATTTATATATATATATATATGGAATTTCTATATATAGATTTTGTATATGTATTTATGTGTATTTTTTAATTTTATATATATTAATTGAGTTAGGGGAGAGTTCGAGGTAAGATATTAACTGTACCAAATTCGAACCCAAAAACTGAACTAAGGCAAAACCCAAACCCAATCACATCAAATTTTCTCAATTAAATTCGGGTTGGGTTTGAACGGGTACAAGGATGACAATGGGTACCCGCAAAAATATCCGCAATGAGTCGGGTCTGGGTCCATGTTTTGGACCTGTGAGTAATTGAGACCCGCTGATAGATGAGTCTGAGTCCTGGTAATAAGGTAACCAGACCCGTGACTACTCGTACCCGCTATTTCTTCATATATATATATATATATATATATAACAAGATAATTGTAATATCATGTTAATCTATATTGTAATATCATATTAATTTATAATTATAATACATATTAATTCATAAATGTGATGTTTACATTGTTAAAACTGTGATATTAGGTTGTTAAACAATGATATTATGTTGTTAATTCATATGTATGATGTAATGCTATGTTAATCGAAGAGTTCATACTAAAGGATTTTTTATCCTAATATTGAAGTTGTTTTTAATGTTTGTTAGAGTAAAATGAGTTGTGTTTAATAGTCAAATTATATTGTTTTTAAAACTTTAAATTAAGTTTTATAATTTTTTCTCTTGTTAATTGTCTAAATAACATATAAGATCGAGTGCAACAAATATAAAAATGCATAAATTACTTGCTATTATTTGTAATATTTTTGAATTTATAGCTACCTATAGATCCGTTGGTACCCAAGGACCCACAAGTAGTATACCCAACGAATATTAACATGGATCTGGATCCAAAAAAAAAGCAATGAGGCGAGTCTGGATCCAAAAACAAAGCAGTGAGGCAGGTCTGAGTAATGCATTACCCAGATCCATCGAGAACCATTGCCATCCCTAAATGGGTATCTACATGTTCGTTTTTCAAGATTACATATAAAAAAAATCAAACAACAATTACAAAATAACATTTTGAAATCGAGTGTTAAGGTATAATAGTAAGATTGTACTATTTGTGCAGCAGTGTATAAAATGTATAGATTTTTAAGGAGTGAATAATTATTAAATATGAATGTTTAAAATTTATACACTCTAAATGTATAGATTTTTTCTAATAATAATAATTTAAATTACATAAAGTAAAAATTGAAAGAAAAGCCATAAAGTCAATAAAAGTAAAACATATGGGTCCCATAGTATGACATAGAAGTCAGAAAATTTCTTGTGTTCTCTCTCCCATGTGATTCAAAAGAAGTGTCAAAGTGTAAATGGCACCCAAGTTGCTTACTTTAATACACTACACCTCTCTTTCTACACAGAACCTAAGAAGATAAACAAAATGGCATCACCATGTTCTTGTTTTTTCACAATACTTGTATTATGTTTCATATATGTTGCTTTTTCAGGTGACCCTTTTGTTTCCTATGATTGGATTGTATCCTACAAAACTCTCTCTCCTCTTGGAGTTAAGCAGAAGGTTTGTTTTCTCTTTTTGATTTTGTTTTAGTTACACTGTTTTTAGATTCACTTATTTTGTGTTAATTATAACTTATGATTGAAAGTTATGAAAAATAAGGGATGATCTATAGTAATTAAAGGTTGAAGTGTTTTAAATTGCGGGCCGTTGCAATGCGGATTGCAGTTGTTGCGGTGTGAATTATTTTGCGATTAAAATAATATTTTTGAGATGTGGCCCGATGTGGTCCAAATGTTGTCCGATGCGGTTGCATTGCAGTCTGATGCGGCCACATCATTGTGATTTGGAGTCACATCGCAATCGCAATATTGTGGCCGCATCAGGTGATGCGGTCCGCAATTTAAATCACTGAAAGGTTGATACAAAATTTAATTCTCATATTTTGGTTTCTTTTTCTTTTATTGTCTCACTACCATGTTTCTTTTAAGAAAAAAAATGAGTAGGTACTAGGACCAAACTTAGTGCTTGTTTCTTAGGTACTTTTGGTGTTGTTCTATTTCTTTTGAGTTAGAACGTGGCATGTGTAAGAACTCATTAATGAAAATATGTGTAATAGCTGTTTTAAGTTGAAATTTTGTGTGTTAGTGTTCTTTGAACATTCTTTGTCATAAGTTATAAGTTTCATAACTCAATTGTGTATACCAAAGTTCGTTATCAACTAGACCTTCAGGGACAGAAACCAAATTAAATGACTAATAAAAAAGGAATGTTTTTCTTTTGAATATTTGGTGCTCTAGAATAGTGATGAACAGAAAACCGAAGTAAAGCCCGAATGAGCATCCTCTTCTGCAATAATTGTACTCCAAGGCTCATTTGTTGATCTATTAGTTGCAAGGTCTCTTGATAATTCTAGCACGAAGTATTGTTCCCTCCTAAATGTCTTTCTCCATGCTCCTCTTACCATACTTTTAGACTTTTTGCTATTAGATATATATTAGAGTGCTAACTAATCATATGTATGTCTCTTTTCTATTGACAACTCAAGTGAGTGAAGAACCTAAAGTCGGTTGATAGTTTACTAAGTGACGACTATTAGGAATGAA